GCCCAGCGCCTGGCCGGAGCAGCCGGGCGGCGAGTCCGCGGACTTGGACGAGCCCTGCTTGGAGTCCCGCGGGGACAGGGAGTGTCCTCCTGGCTTGCCTCCTGCCGCCGAGGAGTCGCCAGGGGCGCTCGGAATGAAGTTCTCCCCGTTGCTGGAAAATCCGTTGGGGGGCTTGGAATCATTGACGTGAGGGATGGGGATAGGGATGGGGATGGGCACGGGCAGGGGCACGATCACGGGGTATGGCACGAGCAAGGTGGGGGGTGGCACCAACGGGGCGAGTGACGGCAGCCCGAAATTCATCATCTGGGGCACCGGCATCGGGCCATTTGGCATCATGCTCACTGGGGGGAAAGGGAGACTTGGCAGGGGCGCGCCCGGGGGCGGCGGGGGCAGCAGGCCCGGGGGGTTCCCAGGCATGGTCGGGGTGCTCGGGGGGTGGATGTGGGGCGAGAGCATGGGCCGGTGCATGGGACTGGAAGTGGGGCCCAGGTTCCTGGGGCCGCCCGGTGGGGGCCCGATGCCAGGGAGCATGGGGTTGGACAGAGGACTATTGGGGTTGGAGGCGTGGTGCGGCGGCCCACGAATGAAGGGCGGGCGGATCTGCTGCATGATCTGTTGTTCCATGAAGATGGGCAGCGGCACCGGGCCGCGGTTGGTCATCACCATAGGAGGGCTGCGAGGCGGGACACCGAGGGGAGGCCCGATGCTAGCGGGTGGCTGGACGGAGACAGGAGGGATGTTTGCAGTCTCACTGATGGGCATGGACTTGGGCACTGGCGTGGGGATCTTAGTGACAGAGCAGTTGGCAGTATCAGATGGAGAGACGGTGGTGGACGCCGATGGGCCAGGGCCCTGGCTTTGGCCAGCTGCAGCCACCGGGGAGGGGGCCTTCCTCCGAGCATCTGTTAGAGGAATATTCCAAGAGTCTGGAGTGAGCAGCTGCACCCCGGTGCCTTCTGCTTTATTTTCCATGGGAGGGTGTAATGTGCTGCACAGCCCAGCTGGAAGATTGGCCTGTGTCTCTTTGTAGAAAATGTCCATTTTGTATTGATTGAGACATTTTGCACTGCAGAACTGAAGCCTTCTTTCCCCATCCCCAAAATCCAGGTATTCTTTTGTGTGTCTTATGTGTTTACACCAGTCACATACCTACAACAGTAATAAAGAGAAAAAAGTAAGAAAAGCAATTTCCTTTGGTAGGTAGTGTTTCATGTTTCACGTAAAGGTTCTTTCAAATTTTATCGCAATTTTTCAAACAGGCTGAAGTGTTTCCTTCTAAAAGGTAAAATTCTTACATATTTGTAAAATTATTTCTCTCAGAATTATTTTATAAATATTAACTCTTCAGAACAGCGATTATCAATATCTCCTATTTAAAAATAAAAAAAGAAATTGTGTTGTCCCTTTATGGTGGACCTGACAGAAAAGAACACATATACCTGCCCATACATTTTCGCTTGTCAAAGAGGCTTGCTGTAAATACAAATCTAAATAGTTTTGGAGAGAAAGATTCTCCAGAAAGTTCAGTGGGCTTTGAAATATAGCCTCTTAACATTCTCCTCATGCAGAGTCATTTTACACTATTGACTCTGTTCGATAATGCAGTTGGGAAGGGTGTGCTATGTTAACCAATAACACAAAGCGCTGAACATCATTATGTCTGCCTTCCAAGGGGAAACTTGGAATTAGTCATGAAGTCTGTGTGAGGTTTAGCTATTCCCAACCTGTGATGTTGCAGCAAGCTAGAATTATTTTTTGAGCTGTTTGCCCACTCTCTCTCAGTAGTCAGAATTTTTGGTGACATTTCTTGGCACGCAGTCTTATTGAACAACTTTTCAAACCCAGAGAACGTTTTCCAAAAGTTGTTATGGCTTTTTCTCCCCTTCGCATCTACTCCTGGCAAAAGAAAGGCATCGCCAAATTTATTTTAAAGTTGGGCTGCAGAACTAATTAAAGGCTGAGAGCTTTTCCCAATTGGAAATCACTAGACATCAAAGTTCAAAAAATAGTCATTCTCGGCTTCAGAACCCATTACTTTGGAGAAATTATTGTGATTTCATTAACACATTAATTTTGCAACACCATCAGCTCTCACAGATGGTGAAGACATGATCTACAATTCAAATATGACTCTTGTTTGCACAAATGTCTTTCCTTCATATGGCATTTTAAACAAGAATTAATATGAGTAATCTTGCCACAGCTATAAACAGATAAACAGATGTCAAAATTTTCGATAGTTCTTTCAGTGCCTTACTTTTTTAACTGAACATTACACACACTATCTTTTTTCTTATTTATCTATCTATCTATCTATCTATTTATTTATTTAAGGTCATTTCTTCAGCACTCGATCCATTTAACAGCAGAGGAAGAATTCTGAAATGTAGTGTAGTGGTAAGTCCATTAAATTTGAGTCTCTCCTCACTAAAGCACTGGTTCCAATATTGCTCTAACTAGAACCCTGTTTTTGTTGAGGGGGGTGTCTATTGTTGCCTTGTTGGTGCATGTTGTTGTTGTTGTTTTTAACTATGGTAAACAGATAGCATTAAAGAATGATACATTTTAATAATTATTGGTCACATAAACAATGCAAAAACAACATATGCTGGGCATTTAATTACTCATCTCATTTAACTCTCGGCTTTCCTTGATTGTAACAGTGGTGGCATGCTAGTGTGTGATTGTGAATGTACACACTCATGGCAGTTGTAGGTCTGTAAGTATAAATTCACTCTTCTCACTTTTTTTCCCACTGATATTTGTATATAATATACTTGATGGTGTGAGATTGAATAAGAAATACTTATTGGCACACATTAGTTTTTTGTTTGATCTCATATCACTCTTTCAAAATACTTGCCAAAAAAATAATTTTAATGCTAATATACTCCTGTGTTTCACTATAGTGTTTCAGGTTTCTCCAGAATTAAGGGAACTTTTTTTTTTAATTATAATTGAGCTGTCCGGTTTACAAACAAGTATATAATTGCCTCTGATGAGCAGAATCCATCAGACTCTCAAAATTCTCATCTAGATAAAGATTAAATAAACTAGTAGTGAAAACTTACACATGTAAGTTATTATTTTTGAAATCCAATCATTTTAATAAATTTAATGTATAGTGTTGACATTTAAATTCCAAAATGAAATAAAGCCACCTGATTCTGTTTCAATATTAGTTAATTTACAAGCTTAAAGTGAAAGCTCAAATATAGCTTCTTTAATCATGAACTAGAACACACTATCAAAGAATTAAACATTAAAATAATATACCAAAATTTCTGGCATATTTCTTTTGGATCTTCTTTTTTAACCATAAGGGAAAAGAGTGTTCTCTTAAATCTTTAATTGGTTTTTAAATTGCCAGATTGAATTATTTGGCTCCAGAGGATTCCTCTGTTTCCTCAAGCTTAATAAATATTTTCAAGTGGAGTCACAAAAAATAATCTAAATATAACTTAAATGTTCTCCCTTTACTTCCTTCACTTTCAATAAGTCATTGATAAAGAATGCTCATAGAACTATCCCAACTATCAAATGAGAATTCTCCATATTTTATCTATTTCTACATAAAAAGAATTACAGACATCAGAGTTCAAAGTAAAATGCTATTTCATCAACCTTTCCAGTTAAAGCAAAGAACTAATACTTATAGCTACCTGATCTTCTGCAGCATCCCAAAGTGTTTAGGTAATAGTGTAACAGTTTATGACTGTCTCATTTTGGGTAATGTGAGTGTGAATGTGCAAGTATCCTTGCCTTATTACATTTCAGTTCAGAACACTGATCTAAAAATACAGAAAAGCAATCTTTCTGAGGAAGCAAAAAATTATTAGAGAAAAAAATTGTCACTTAAGAAATAATGAATCAAGTCTGTCTTACAGGACACATCATTTAAGATGAGGTCAATGAATTTATGACACAAATGGCTATATCATGTGAGGCAATAAAATGCAGTACCATCATTCATTCTATATCTAACTAATGACACACTTCTAGTAATTAAACATTTCAGCATAAGAGCCTGAGCTGATTGCTTAAGATGTGGTAGTTAGGTGAAAATATATACTGGAGATCTCTCTCTCTTTAATAAAATAACATTTGCATACCCATGAAATACACAGCATGTGTTTCATAAACTATGGTTTTCTGAATTGTGGTGTTATGAGGTATTCTTCCCTTCTTTTTCCAGAGACAGCTTTTTTTTTTTTTTTTTAACATTGTGAGGCATTATTTTTTTCCTCATTATGCCAAGAAGTACCAAAATTCCTTCAGATATTTTAAGAGATAAAGATTAAGAAGTGCAGAGCTCAACTCGCTAGGTTCTGGGATGATTTCCCTGTAATTCCACCCTGGCTTTGTTTCTGTTGGAATCTGGTCCCCTTGGTTCCCCTTCTCTCAGGTCCCAGATTGGAAAAAGCTGAGGCTGAAGCTGTTCAACAGTGGCAATCTAGGGACCAAAAAGTCAGCTCATGCAACGCCACTGGATGAGACAGCTGAAATGCTTCATAGCACAAATACATAATGTATCACCAGGGCGACAAAAAGATCACAAAGGAGGTAAACAAATGTGTATTCCATTCAACCCTATAGCAGCAGTCCTCAAAAAGATTAAATTTACCTTCCTGGGATGTGTCCAATTCTAAACAACAGAATGAACATTTCTTTTAGTCCATTTAGACTATTTATATTTTGGTGGCTGGCTGCCAGGGTGGTACTTATAAGCTCAGTGGCCTGATGGATTCACTCCTTTCCTGTGAAATAAATGTGTGGCAACCTACACCACTAAACTGTTCAAAAGACACTGCCTCAGCAGAAATATCACTTGCTCTTGATATAAGAAAACTGAAAGGCAGGACTTCTGGTTCCTATAACTCTTTCCATCTTGTATTTCCCCTGGAAAGAAAGAAAGCTATTCATGTTGGCAACTGAGCCTTATTTTTATATAAACGTCCAAAGTCAAAGCCAAAGTATGCCATGAGGTTACCCACATGGGCACAATATATACATTCTGCTGGGCTTAAGAGAAGAGTCAAGTGACTGGGAGGGAGACAGAGTTCCTAATTAACACATTAATCCCCTGTCAGCTGTGGGAATGAAGTTCATCCTTTAATGGAACCCACCACTGCCTTCTGAGTGGTAATCTTGCATCAGGCAATATTTAATTAAGAAATCGTTTGATGAAATCTTTCTTATCTGGATAAAGGCATTTATAGCAATGGAACAGTAAAAAGATATTAGTGATCCCTTGAATGCCATCAACAATTTGAAAAACAAAACAAAATCTTCACGTGCTTCTGACTTGCCACAGATATAGCACCCAGGTAACAGCTCAGAAGTTGTAGTTCCTTAAGCAAAACTGTAGCTTGCCATAAGATGCTGGTTCCTTAGATCTTGGCCTGTTAAATGTGGCATTGATCTTATACTCTAGGCCAGTTCAAACAAATCAAGAGCTCACCCAAGAGTGAAGCAAAGGAGGACGGAGAGACATGTGTGGGGGTGATCAGTGTTTTAAAGGGTTTAAGGTCTGCCCTACCTGTAGATAGTCACCTTTCAGTATGAATTGAGAGCCTCAGATTGACCCCACCTGAATACTTGCTTCCAGCCTGGTCCCAGCATCAGCTGTTCCTTTGGGTTTAAACACTGCCTCCATCAGGGCACTTGGGTGGCAAAGGATGCTACAGATATCATGTGGGATTTGAAATCAGAAGATGCGAGTTTCATTCTGGACTTTGTTATTTACTAGCAGTGCAATCTTATGAAAATCTCAGCTTCAATTTCTTCATCTGTGAAATGGAGTTCATAGTAGTAACAAGTAAGGCTGTGTGTCAGGTATATTATTAGCTTGTTGCATAGTGTATTTTTTCAGTCCCCCCCTGTTTCCCTCATGGTTACTGATATCCCAGGAACATCCCATATGTTTAAGTTAATTTTAACTTAATGGAAGGATGTTTCTACGGCAGTCTAAGGAGGGAAAAGAAAATTTCTGTCCACAGCTTTCCTATGAGCCTGTGTGTTTTTGAGATAGAATGGAGCACGATTCTCTCTCTGGGCAAATGCATACTGTACCTCACAGACTCCAGCCCCCATCCCCCCACACTCCCAGAGGCAACGCTCGGCTGTCTGCAGTGACAAGGTACCATGTC